GGAACTTCTTGCCATTACAACACTGTTCAAGAAGGCTAACATGCAAACATGTAAGAGGACTTTCTGCTTGTGATTGGCTCTCCAAAAATCAGTCAGAGCTCCAGGATAAACCTCCCTGCCCATCTTCCTTGCAGTCAGTGTAGCAACAACACCAAAAGGGTTTTCTATCTCTAACATTGTTTTATTAGAATAGAGACTAAACCAAAGGAGCTTCTGAAATACCAAAACCTGAGATTTTTGCCATTTGAGGACTAATAAAAACAAAGAGCGTGAATGCCAATTCCCTTGCTGCTCACTGTGGCCTAATGGAGTGACCTTCAGATCCTCAATGTCTGTTTTTCTGGGTTGCAGCAGCCTCTGCAAAGCTCCTCTGGTCTCCAGGAGAACCTCCCTCCTGCAGCTCTGAGACACTGTTGTCCTCTTGCTGATCAGGCCCCAGCCTTCTCATCTCATGCTACATCTTTCATCTGCTACACCTCTTGAACTATCCCCTCCTGGCTTCCTGACAGTCCCTTGTGGATCCTATGCAGAGCAGCATTTTCCTCTCCTTCCAGAAGATGCCCCATGTTTCCATCCATGTGTGGCAGCTAGAACACGCAGTGCCAGGGAGATTTCCTGTCCAGCCAAAATCCATCCGTATAATGCAGTGTATAACATATATGGTTATGTGAACAGGCAACTAAAAGAAAAATCTTCCACACTGCTTGAGAATGGCCCTCCAAAAAAAAAAAAAGAATAACTTTGAGAAAGGCCATTACTGAAGTGCTGATGTAAAGAAAGCATCAACTCTTTGGATGTAGTTGCATGCTGACATATGATAGCCTGCTGAAGCCATATTTTTGGCAAATGCACAGAAGGCAGTGACTCCATGAGCTGTTCCGTTGATCTAATAACTTGCTGCTGCTGAAATGAAGAAGTCCTGTCTCCACCTTGTTTTCTCGTCTCTGGTTTGTAGCTGTGTGGTCCTGCCCTCTTTCTCTTGGGCATTAACGCCAGCTCCTGCACTCCCTGGGCCCTCTCATGAACTCACTAGAGCAGCAGAAAAATGTAAAACTGTTTCTTTTCTGGCTTAATTTCTTGCTATGTGAGTTGTGAGGTAAATCAGCTCATGAAGGAATCCTGTCAGTCACTATGCCAGGGCAAGGTAAGTGGTGGAGGAAGCCTTTTGGAAGTAAGGAGGGAGGGAGCAGTGCTGCCCACCCATTTTCCAGCAGGAAGTCAGCATCTGGCTCAGCTAAGTAGGGGACCAGAGTCTAAGGATCAAATGATTCAGATATCAGACATATCGCTGTGTTTGTTAAAAAAACAAACAAACAAAAAACAACAACAACAAAACCCCAAAAACCCAAACCAACACAAACCCCCTCCAAAACACCAAAACCTCCTATAGGATCAAGAATAGATACTAATAACAAATAAACACAGAGGATAAAGTTCTATGACTAGTAGAGGTTCTCCCTGAGAATCCCTTGGTGCTGGGTGGAGGTCCTGTGATCCCATGGATCCGTCGAGATTCAGAAGCGTTTATCACAGTAAGTTTCCCCAACAGACTGCCTGAAGGGTGTATTATTTTCTCTGGACATCTTGGCAACCCTTGAATAAATGGCGTTTGCTAACGAGTGGAACTGAATTAAATAATCTAGAATGATCATGTAAGAGCACTGTAGTATGGTTAGAAGTTCTGCATAGCAGAAATGGAAAACTAGCAGTAAGTGGCGAAGTGCATGGCATGCCGTTGATTAATATGCAGAACATCCCTGTCTTCAGGTTTCTGGAGTCAGTATTATGCAGTTATTAAGAATTGTGTATTAATAAATATAGCTTATAAAATATGAACAAATAATCACTAATATTTTTTCTAAATGGTACTGTATGATGTAGGGTTTATCACTGGGAAAGCCAACATTCAAAATATTTAGTAATACCAGTTTTATAATAACACTGATGCATTTAGTGCTTCCCTAATGACATCCATTGTCGTGTGAATATATGTGCTGAACACCTGCAGTAGCGATACAAAAAAATTTGGACATCTGCTCATCACAATATACTCATTTAAAGTGTTTCTATATTCAAAGATACTACTAAGCAAATCGAGCATACTGAGCCCCGCTTGGTTCTGGATATGATTCATTTTGCTGTGAATGATTGCCAAGGCAGACTGTATCGCCCATCCCAATTTCAACCTGCCCTAATTCCCTTTATGAGTTTATTATTTAATGCTGGTTTAGTGCTCAGAGAGACCCAAACAGGAAGCGTCTGGGCGTTCTCTGTTCATGAAGTGGGTGGGATGGAGTTCTTTAGAGAAAACAAAATACGATCCACCTACAGATCATGTTAGGCCAGCTCCCCAATTTCCTCTAAGTAGAACAGGGGCTTTTGTTGCCTTAGTTACTGGAACGATCTACTGGTCAACAGCAGAATCCCAGTCTCCAGACAGAACATCCTTCTGCATTTTTGATGATAGCATAGGATGGGAAATATCTACTTTTTGTTGTAAAAAGGAGGAAAATAAAAAGTAGATTATTTAACTCTTTGCAAAAAAATTAATAATAAAAAAAATCAACTGCAAAAATAATTCTGCAAGGTCACTGAGCGGAGGGAGCATTGTTTGGTAGAGGGTTACAGTGTCCACTAAAGCAATGTCCCTGGATGCTTTATTTTCTATTCCTTTCTTAATGAAGACATAAGTGAGCACTGACACTGCATGCTAAGTTTCAAGTCTTAAATAGACAACAGCAGCTACATTTCTAGAGCCAGATTACTGAAGCTTGTCTAAACCTGATAGATGCTCCAGACAGGATTCAAAATTGTTCTTCTCACCAGCGGTGTAGCTGTTGTAGTGCTATCATCTATTTTTCCCTTGGACACAGAAGCTGGAAAACACAACCCATCTGTTTCCCCCTAATGTGAAGCACTATCAAGTCCAAATTCTTTCCTTTAGTTTTAAAAGCAAGAATTTCAGTACAGTGATACTTGGGTGATAATCCACACTGAAATCAGGGTGCAAAATAATAAATTTTAAGAAAGAATGGAGTCCCCCAGAACTGCTGGGTTCTCTTCTTTCCCAGAATGGTGTGATATGAGGTAGTGGTTCCATGGTACCTGAAATGTATCTCACCCTCTGTGGCCGTGGCCTCCCTTCCCCTGCTAGTGGTTCTTCTCACCCCACGGTGGTCCCCAGATACTGTTCACCAATAACTTTTTTTTGTGGGATTAAGTTTTGGTCATTTTAACCCCATGAGCTGATAGTGGAGCAAGATGAACCCCAGCACCAGAGCAATGAAGGGCTCAGGGTGGCCTGCTGGCACGGCATGGCTGAGGTTAGGCTGAGTTCATGGGGCTCAAATGTGAGAATAATGCCATAGAAATATTTAGGCTAGTCTAAATGGAAAAGCAAACATTTTCCACCATATGTCATTGCCTGCAATGAAGATCTAGTCAGTATGCTGTTGATTTGTGTGATTTTCAGTAAATTTGGGATTTTCATTTGGATAAATTCAGATTTTAGAAGTTAATAACTATAGAGTTCTATAAGAACCTCAGATAACCATAAGTCAGCGTTGAAGTTGAGAACACTAGGATGTAATTTTAAAGCTTTTAAACAAGTTTTTTAATTTTTACTTATAATATCATACTACTAGTATAAACTATACATATTAAGAGAGTGCCCAAATCTATTTCACCATTAATGCTATTTGAAAACACTTGTGCTTTGTTCAGCTTAAAGTGAAATATTTTTATTGGTACTTCCAGTAATTTTGTGACATTCATTCACTACAGTATTGTTATTATTCAAACTGCAGAATATTGTTTAAATCTACCCCACCTGCTGTTGTCTAAATGGCAACATATTTAATACAAACATCACAAATGGGCATTACTTCCATTATTTTAATGTCAATTTTTACATATGTTTCTTTTTCTAAACAGAAATTTCAGCTGAAATTACCTGTCGTAGTTCCTTTCTAAAACTAAGGGTTGATTCAAAGTAGAAAGTGTTTTTTTTTAATTTAATGACTGGCAGGACTTAAATAGTGGCAAAATCTTTTACAGTAGGATTTGCAGTCTTCTGCAAAGACCACAAATAGAACTAAATGTTTGAGATAAAGGGGTTGTTGGGACATTGTGTTATTTTACTTCTGGTTAATCTATTTTATCACAAAGCTTATAATTTGTATGAAGGCCAAACGTATAAAGTGTGATTGACAAACATTTGACAGGGAAATGCATGCTCCTGAGCTTCAGATTGAAGGCCAGAATGTACGAAGCCTGTTCTTATTCCCATCTCTAAATCACTTTCTACTAGGATCTAGCATACATTTGTTTTCACTGTTTCATTGTTTTTCCCCAGTTTTCATTCCTTTGTAAATGACAGCACAATAGATGGCTTCTAGAGGCTACCATCAGTGTAGTCATGTTAATTGGAGCTATATAAAATTAAGCCCTTCTGAAAGTTTTAGAAAACTAAACGCTCTTAGTGGGGAGCAGGCTGGGCTGCCCCGTACAGCTGACCCAAGGAGCCAACAAGCACACCTCAGCTTGTTTCTCGAACCCCTTAAAACATTGTGATCTTAGAAAAGTCTGCTTTTCATGCCAAGTCAAAACCTGAGCCGTACCTTTTGTGCGTGGAAACCTGTCTAAAAGTGAAAAAAAGGATAGCTTGAGCTCTGCTGTCCAGAGATTTTTGAGGGTGAGAAGCAGAACACACGGTGGGTGGGTGCAGGAGGGCTTTCTCTTGACACCCAGAAGTGGACCACGCAAGTGAGGATGCATTTAAAAAAAAAAACAAACAAAACCAACCAACCAAAACAAACAAACAAAAAACCCCATCTGAAACCCCAAGAGAAGCCCCAAAGCAGCACGATGCAAAGAGAAAGAAGGAATTGGAGGCTTTCCCCGAAGCAACCTTCAAGCCTCCCGGCGCTGTGGGGAAACCAAATAAGCCCTCCGGGAGGAGTTAAAAGACCGAGCGCTGCCCGCGGTCAGCGCTGTGGACGATGGGCAGCCAGGCGGGCGGCCCGCGGGCGACGGCGCCGGGGCAGCAGCTCCGCGCTCTCTTCTACGCGCTGCCGCCCGCGGAGAGCTCCTTCCGCACGGTGGAGGAGGTGCCCGACTACGTGGAGAAGGTGAGAACCCCCTCCCCCGGCAGCATCCTTCGCCCTCCCCTCCGCCCACCCTGCGCATACCTGCCGACAGCCTTTTTTGTGGTTTGGTGTTTTTCTTTTTTTTTTTTCCCCCAAAAAGGCACAGGCGGCCCAAGGAAACAATATCCACGAAAGGGCACCTAAATTAAGATGAATTACCTTGTCTTTCTCCGAGTGGTTTTAATCCTGGGCTCTCTGTCTGCAGGCGGCCTGTGTAAACTGCCTATGTAACAGTGCACTCTGTTTTAATGTATTCTAAAAGAAGGCTCGGGTGCTTTCTCCTGATACCAGGAGCTGAAGTTTTCTCAGAAGCACCCCAAATTCCTGGGGCTTGGTGCTAAAATTGTTCTGAGTGGCAGTGTTGCTGGATACAGTGACAGCAAACTGAACTGAGTAAACCAGAAAATGTGACTCTGTGTTTGGCTATTATGGTTCTTCAAGCAAGCAAAAAGTCAAGTTTCTTTGTGCCCTTAAGGCGAGGGCTACAAGTTCAGTCAGAGAAAGAAAAATAAAAATTTCTACTTAAAATAAAAAATAAAGATTGTTTAAGAGAACAAATATTTGTGTTGGGACAGTGCAGTCTCCTAAAGCTCCGAGGCAAGAGTACAGAGGTCAGGGGTGACAACTCCCTTGTCAGCAGGCAGCAGCGTATCCCTCCCTCCCCTCCCGCCCTGCCAGCTTATCCACTTCTACAAAGGTACCTTTGCTCCCTCTGTCCTACCTATTACACATATCTTGGCACCCAGCTCCTGCTGCACCTGGAACCGATGTGAACTTTTTGTGAAGGGAGCAGCCAAACACTGTTTTGCCCTTGTCAAAGCAAATTCAGTCCGGCTTCAATGAAGATCCATGCTTTTTGGGGGGGTCCCTGGTAGCTCTGACTTGCTCCTCTGCCAGGTAAACCTTGGACTGCGGTGCGGCAGCTGCTCTTGGGCTGCAATGGGGGTGTCACGGGTTGTGCAGAGCAGTGCAGCACCGTCAGCCGCTTTCTGGGAACTGTAGTCTGCAGCAGCCCCTCGCTGATGGCTGTTATCAGCAAACATTGCCCTTTTGGACAAGGTAAGCAGACAGCTGCTGCAAAACCAGCCTGTGTGTGCCGTGTCTGGTCGATGCACTGCTTTCCTCAGAGGCATTTTGCAATTAAGCTATAGCGTCATCATCGAGAGCTTGACAGTTTTGCCTGGTCAGCTGATGTCTCCCTCCAGGTCTATCTATTGCCTATCTCAATTCCTTTTACTGTTCTCACATTTCCCCCTAGTATCATTCACCGTCTTCCCAGCAGCGTTCCTTAGCATCCCTGGGCTTTCTTCTCCCATGCAGACCTGTGCAATATTCAGCTCAGACCTTGGCCAAACCTGGAATTTCTTTTACTGGGCACATGGCTGTAAAAGTCTGTGGAAGGATTCTTAATACTTCTTTGCATTATAAAAGTGCTGTCAGACTTCTGCTGTTGTACAGCACCATTGTGCTAAGTTTGTAAAGGAATATAGACCTTGCAAAAAAAACCCAACACTAAGAAAAGGTTTCCTATTACAGTTATACTTTCCTATAATTGCTCTCTTGGGTTAGTGAATCCCTGAGCCCCCCATCCCCCCAGTGCGTTTGTTGCCAGAACATACCTTTTGATGCTTGGTTAGGTGGGTGCATAAAAGTCTTTTAATGGTATAACTGTCTTAACTCTATTGCCATAAATTTGTACAAATACAACAGTGGATATCTGAGCTCAGCGCAACACAGGAAAAAAACATTTCTTGTGTAGAGCTGGTAATAAATGAAGGCCTCAGCTCAAATAACTCACTCTGACAGTAATGATGACGATGGTGTGAAATGAACTACTGATTACATTACTGTCCCCTAAACAGTTATTGTTTTGGTTTTTTTTTTTTTTTCATTTTTTCTGAGACACTGTATGGAAGTGGGATTTAGATCTCAGCTCTGCGATCTGTCGTGTGTCGGATGGATGAGGGTATTTCTAGTACATGGCTACAGGGGTGGGGACGTGCACCTTCCAACATTAGGCAGGTGGCAGAACCTCCTAATTCACTCAAATATTCGTGTTTTTAGTGATATGCTAAGTTGAGCACTTTGGTGATTTACAAAATACATGCACTTCATAGGAGTAGCTCCTTTGAGCTGGAGTCAGCTCTGCTATTACATCTGGGCAGCAAATGACAGCAGCGGGTGAAACAGCTCTGATTTTGAGAACAGAACGACCTCCTTAGCTTGACTTGTGTGGTGCGCCTTCTGGCTGTGGCTATATTACTTCCATTTTCAGAGGCAGGACAGCTCCTGGTCCCTGAATTGTGCTCTGTATGTCTGCATAGCTGTACATGAAGGCCCCAAGTCCTGTTTAAAACATGAGCTGATCAGCTACAAGTGGCTAGTAGCAAAGTTCTGCAGCAGTGCCCAGGGAAAAGTCACCCTTTCAACTAATCTCCAAAATTCCAGGAAAAGGGGTCTAAATCCTGGACGATAATCATAGAATTTATATTTATGCGAGTTTTTGTCATGTGGAATTTGAAATCCTTGAGTTTTTCCCTTATTTCTAGGAAGAGAAGAGAATTAGAAGTCAATTTTCCTTCTCCAGGGCAGAACATCCTCACTCTTACAATGTATACTGATGCTTGCCCTGTCCTTTCACAAGCATCCTCTTTGCTATGGATGTAAGATTATGCTTTGCATCCTCTATTTTTTCGATTCTCTCGTAATCTACAGATGGGCAGATGGAGTGCTGCTTTTTGCTTGCCAAATATACTTCTTATGAATAACAACAATTTCACTTTCCTCCTTGCTGCATTCTGAAATTATCGCTTGTGCTCGCTCAGTGAAGACTTCCATGAGTCAGACTCAAGAAGAGTGTGCACTGTTCCTTCTGCTGAGAGCCCCAAAATGCAAGCTTTAAATTTAATAATCACTGTTTTTCTTTCCTATTTACTCTCTGCTTTTGAGGGTCTAAAGATTAAGTTCACATTTAAACTCAACTCACATTTTAGGCTTTGCTTCTAAATAATGAGGCACAGAACATTCGTATTTAGTTGAACATGAAAGCTGAGATTCTTATGTTATAAGGACCTGGGACTTTAAGAAAACAGAAACTGTTTCAAGACTTGCAATAAAACCATGAGTTTATGCTGAGTTTCAACATAGAATATTATTTTTTTGCAACTGTATAAAGCAGAAACTTTTTTTAAAAGGTCCTTTGCATTCTGTAAGAGTTGATTACTTATAAGGGAAACCCTCTTACTCAGTGCTCAGAGTAAGACTTTCAAGTTATGGTTCAGTTATTCAAGTAAACCACAAGCTGGTGCAAATCTCCGTTAAGTATTTCTGGAGATGGGTGAACAGACAGAAACTGGAAACAGAGAGAGAAAAACATTTAGAGACCAGAAGATATCAAAAGCATCCAGCTTCTAACTCTGGCCTGTGATGCCAACAGTGGCTATTTCTTAACTTCGTGCCATTTTGTTTGTAGGGGAGATACTTGAAAAGTTTTGCAGAGCTACCTGTGCTCAATGGGTTCCTTAAATGTCTTCATTGTCCTTTTAACTTAAACAAGGAAAAAAAAAAAAAAAAGAAGTTATGTTTAGGCTAGTGAGACTCTTGTCTGTCTTACTGACTGTCTCCTTTTTTCCTGAATTATTTGCATTATCCTTCTGCTGTCTTACATCTCATCCTTAGACTGTAAGCTGTTTGGGACAGGGAGTGCCTTTTCCTTCTCCTCGTACGACATCTGACACTGCACTATCCTGTTCCATGACAATAGCTGTTAGGTGTTACGGTCACATACATAATACATACTAGTTGTGACATAGTTGATCCTGTGATCTGCTTTGGACAAAGCTTTATGTGGGTGTGTGGGAGAGTGGTAGTAATTTCTTAGATACTAAGAGGTATGCCATAAATCTTTTCTTTCGCGAGCTCCTTGATGGGCAGGAGGTTAAGGCTGTCTGAATGTTTCTCTATCCTCCTTGCTATCATACTCCCTGTTTATGAGTCAAAAAGCGTTGTCAAATGCTTGGCTGTCTCACAGCTTCACAGTGGGAAGAAAATATTTAATGAAGTAAATGGGAAAGAAGTTCTATTAATCCATATTAGTATAAAGTCAAGTATTTTAACTGTTTCAGAGGTTGTTAGGTAAAGTGGATCACCACATACAATACAGGCATCATGTATTTCTGATTCACTATTTTCGTTTCAGGATTGAAGCATCCCACTTTGTCTGTCCTGAGCCCATTCAATTTGCTGTGCAGCTTCTGCTGTTCCGTAACTTCAAAGTGCCTGTAGTCTGTGCTAGACCTGGCTCCTGATATTCTGGTCAAGTGTTTCTTAGTTGTTCTTAATAAGATCCTTTTAATCTCTGCTGGAATGTACAGCTGTATCAGCCTTTGTTTGATAAGTTAGGAGTCTGTTCTTTAATTATATCAATTAAGAAAAGTACATTAAAAGTCTTGTGTACTTAGAAATGAAGCAGCAAGAGCAAAACAAGGAGTATTTGTATTTTCCTGGAAAGTTTCAGTGATTTCAAATGGAAGGTTGTGGGGTTTGGTTTTTCCTTCTTTCTTTCTTTAGTAATGATTTCAAATATCCAAAGATTTACCACATTGGTTTTCTTAGGTGCTGTTTAGGCTTTATCCATAGGTCTTCCTTTGCTTTCAGAGTTTTTTATATCATCAGTTAGTGCGTATCCCAAACAGCCTTTTAGATACCTAAAATGCTGTTAAAGAGCAAGCTAGGCATCTAAATTAAGAAGTGCCATGTTGATATTAATCTCTGTTCATCTGTTATTGTAACCTAACCCTGAGCTGCTGAAGTTTATGAACTTTCACATTTCCTAGACGCTATAAATCTCTTGCTGCTTGCATGGTTTGAATCATCCAATTCTTCTTCGACTGAGCAATCTGGTCTATATCCATCTTAGTCTCTTTAGTGTCCCAGCCTGGTAGGAATTCCTGGATCATATCTCACTTGGCAACAAAAATGAGCACCCTCCAAAATGCAATGGCATTTGCAGAGGCAACATGCTTCTTCCATTAAAGTGTTGTATAGGCAGGAGCAGCCCCTCTTCTACAGCAGCGCAGTTTGGAGGGTTTCAGTCTGTGAAGCTGTAAGTGTTTGCGGGTCGCTTCAAGGGGGCAGCAGAAGACGACTAACAGGGCAAATCTCGCAGTGTGATGCTTCTCATAATCGTACAGAAGGTCTCACTGGTCTTGCATTTCTCTTGCCCTGCGAAACATGGTGGGAATGTTATGCCTTAATACCACTGAGAAGCAGTCGTCTGAATGTCTCCAAGGTCACCAAAAAGTTTTCTACAGAGCGAGGGAGGCAGTTGAAGACACATTCATGTGCACAGAGATCTTATGCAAGTAAAAAAACTCCTTATTTTCCTTGCCACAGGCCTTCTAGATTTTGGTGGCAGTGGCTGATATGCTGCCACCGCCTTGTCATTCCTTCCACCCATCAAGTGTAGGAGCTGTTAGGACTCCAGTGTCCGTAAAAAAGCATATGGTCTACCAATTGCTGTTATTCAATCCTTTTTTCTTGCCTATGCTGATGAACATTTGAGAATCACTCTAGCAATCTTTTTCCACTGATGAAAAATGGTGGTGTCACAGTAACGTTACCAGTCCTACTGCTGTTCACAGCCATACCTTTCTCTACTGGGTGCTGCTAGTGCGCATTATCAACTTGCCAATTGATCTGGGGCACGAGACGGACAGTGTGAAGTGAATCCTAGACTGAAGCAGTGTTTTGAGTGAGAAATGTTTCAGTCTTACTCATCGTTGTACTTTTCTTCAGAAAGGCAGAAAATTATTTTACAGAAAAAAGGGAACATTGTATCGTTGCTACTTGGTCTGGAAAGAGAACATGTCTTATGGCCCAAATTGGAATAGGCTGCATAGTTACTGGGTTCTCTTCTGTACACATACAGAAGAGCTGTTGCTATCTGCAGCAAAAAGCATGGCAACAGAAATGCCGAGTAGAAAGAAACTCACTTTACTATGTCTTTCAGATAATATTGTTAGATGCCAAATTCAGTGGCTGAACACGCTCAAAAACCACTTACATATCAAATCGAAAGCAGATTCTGTTTTACCTTGTGGTTAGAGGAGTCCGCAAATGTTGCTGCTCTGACTGATTTACTTGAATTTGAGAAATATGAGTTTAGAAATACTTTTGTGTTATGTTTTGATGCCATTTAACAATTGATGTGCAGAAGATACAAAAGAAGATAATAAGGTAGGAGGTTTGTGCATTGGATTTCTGGCGGTATTGTGGATTAAATGGTGGCCTTGTTTTTTCTGATTCTTAAGATCCATGTGGAGCTTTATCATAGCAGTAGCTAGAGTGCCAGCCAACCCAAGAAGTATCTGGCTGCATAAACTGCTGTTAGGAAAGGTGGATCTAATTCTCTTTGTGTTGTGACTTCTTTTCTTCAAACTATTTTTCAGAGTATTCCGTTCTTCATTGCTTTTATTGGGCTGGAGTTTGCTGTCAGCTGGGTTCAGAAGAGTAAGCTGCCAGGTCGGATCAATGATGGCATAAGTTCTCTTTCTTTAGGTATCCTGTCTCGACTGCCAGAGTAAGTATACGTGTTATATTAGCTTAAGATTGTTTTTTAATCACTAAGAAGAAAGAAAGAAGGATTCTATATTGCAGTTGTTATTGCTAACCCAAAAATGATTAAACAAGGCATCTGGATCTTACTTTGCTAAAATGAAGTTGCATAAAGAGTGTAAATGTCTTTTTAATTTGTAAGGCTAAATATGATACTTGCAGGATATTTTCCAGCTCCAACTATATTCATCTATATCTGATCTTGGCTGTCACCTTTTGCCAGTTCTGGGACTTCAGCTGACTTGACCGTATCTTATGTTGACCTGTATGTTAAAATCTGAGTTTTCTTTCATTAAACTTCAGAAAGAAGAAGACAAACCCACAAACCAAGTCCACTATTTTCATTAGCCTTTAAAAATAAAATTGTGTGTGTGTAACCAGATTGATAGAATTGTGAATATGCACATGATCTAAAGTTCTTTGAACTCAGTCATAATCTTGTGTTTGACTTCAGTGGATTTTAATACCTGAGAGAATTGTTGTAAACATAATAATATAATCTAATCCAATCCCCAGTGATTTACCTGAGTTAGTTCATGGTGAAGAGAGTTGTGTTTTAAAGAAATACCCACTGTGGATTACTAAATATCCAGTAAGAGGGAATGCAGTAAGTTTTTTATATAAGTTGCCCTAAGTGTTTTTCAGGAGCTCTAATTACTTCTAAGATGTGTCTTTGCATGATATGAGCTTCCAGATGATAGATCTTATTACATGTTTTCTGTTAGAATAGGATTACATTTCTATTCCCCATAGATGAATTTACAGATTACCATCAAATTGCATATAATTTCATTACACGAAGAAAAGATTCTATTATTTGAATTTGACTATATGGTGTATTTTCAAGTCTTTCAATTATTCCCACAGTCTTTTTTCTGAATCCTCTGCAGTTTTTCAGCCTTCTTAGTGTTGATGTCTCAAGTGCACTCCATATTTCAGAAACTGCTACATCAGTGCCAAATAATGAAGTCATTTGTTCTCTATTTCTACTTGTTGTTCCTCCCTTTATATATCCCAGGTCCTTTGAGCCATCCTTCATCCCTAAATATTTTTTTTTAGATTCTGTGGCTTACATTCCTCATTCATAGGCAATATGTTCATATATTTGGCCACATAGAAATGCATGGATTGTATATTTGGTTGTCCTGAAATAGTCTGAATCCACAAAATGTTGTCTTTGTTACTTAGAGATCCCTGTTTTTTGTCATTGCAAACTTGACTAGAAACCTTCTCCTTCAATCCAGATTATTGATAAAATACATTCGAAGATTTGTTACACAGTAACAAATTAAATACATTTGTTACACAGTAACAAAAAGTTATCCCTTCTGGTGAGTAGCACCCATTTTCTGGAATGGGTAAATCACCCACTTTGTAATCTATTGAACATTTGACATTTACTTGATTTTTTTTTTTTTAAAAACTTTCTAATCAAGAAAAGATTTGACAAGGTCTATGTCTGTGCCTTTAAATTAGGTACAAAGACAATTTCTGGTGGCTTATGTTAATAGGAAATATCATGGATGAAGCCTTTTAAGGAGTTTTGTTGATAAATAATGTCACTTAGAGACGCTCTCCCAAACCCTTCATATATCTGCAAATAAGAGGCATGAGCTTTCAGCATGAGAAATATTCAAACATAAAGTATTCAAGCATAATGTCTAAATTATTTGAGAATTTCTTGAAGCTGTTTGTGCAGCAAGTATACAACCTATATTCAAACCATTTTGTTGCTTTTAATATGATTCGTGAGCATGATTTGAAGGAGAGGCATTCAATTTTTTCATGATATAATAATTACCGTAAAATAAATAAAGCTGTAATAAATTAAATATTTATCAATACGTTAGGCTTGTGTGCACCAAAGCACAATCCTGATAAAGGCTTACTCTAGTTTGCATGCAGCTAATATTGAAGGAGTTCAAATGTCGCTTCTTCAACTTAACCCAAGTTTTCTAGACAGTCATACACTTCGCAGGTTTGCCATGCTAAATCCTTATTTTCTTAATCTGAAAGATTCCTGATTAAGTTAAACAAGGGGACTGAGATACATGTAAAGTAAGTTTGAATGGTTTTGCGAGGCCTTTTGGCTTTAGTTTAAGAATAGTGAAATGCTTCAGATGCACTTATTCCTGGAAGAAATACTTGCTAAGAAAGCTATCATTGCGTGTGTGGACCACAGCTTTGCAAGGTGCTGAGTACTTTTATTATTTTGGCACTCAGTACTTTGCTGCAGAATTTGGCTTGCGGGCTACGCAGTTTTCTTTCAGATAGGAATTATTTTGCAAGGTTGTTTCAACTGAGTGAACCAAATGATCCTTAAGGACACAAACTTTGCAGGATCAGGCGAATCTGCAGGATCGGTATTCTTATTCATTGCTACACCGCCACAGGAAGTCTCTTCCAGGTCGCTTGTGTGGCTCTCGTGGCTGGAAATACAAGACCCTCCTCAGCAGTTCTTTCCAGAAAAAAGTTCCATAAAGCTTTTAACTTTCTGGCTGAATGTGAAAGAAGCAAGAAAAATGCAGACTTCCTAAAAAATTTAATCGCGTGTTAATATCACAATTCTAACAGTGACTGCCTAGTGTAACACCTCTTTTGTAAGTAAGAGGAGTTGCGAATAATAGACTGGCTAAAAAGCCTTGAACTGAGAAAACAGAACAGTTTACCCTTCTGTCTTCTGCTTCCATGGTGTGAGAGAACTGGGTCAGGAAGAAAAAAAAAAAAGCACATGCAAAATCTGTTGCTAAGATTTTCACTTCAGTCTTTCCCTTTCAGGCAGAAAAAAGGTAGAAGAACCCACAGCATCAGGGGAAATAGTAGTGCAAATCATTAACAGCTGAAGGTTAGATTAACACACCATTGATTGTATCCTCTCCCAGGGACTAATTTTCATTTTCTCAACTAGCAGCAATGGTTTGCCACTTCCTTAAAAAAATCTGTGGTTGAATCTAAAATGGTGGGCTTCAGTCTATTAGTTAGGATGAAGCTTCAGATGCATCACTGCAAAGGGGTCTTTACATTTAATGAAAAAATTAGGAGTCACAGACCATATTCAGCCTCTAAGTATGTTTTTCCGTTTCGCAGTCTGTATAACAGAAGTACTGCATATCTTGAGGGAAAACAGTGTTTATTCAGTGTTTCTTACTTCATTGTTGGAGGAAATGCAAATCATAAATTCTTGATTTTCATATGCCAAATATTAAAAACATAGGTGCAAGAGGAAAAGTGTAATCGGACAAGGCACTGTGTTTTGTCTTTAGACTTATTAGACTCAACAGCATGTAGTAAGTTGAATTGCTTTGTGCATACATATCGTCTCTTGTAAAATAGCCCATATGTTTCTTAAATATAATTTTCTCTGCCTTAATGCATACTATGCATTCCTCTGCATGTATGAATACTAAATGTTATATGCAATGAAAAGTAATTTGGGGGAAAGGGAGAAACTTGAATTACTAAGCTTACTCCCAGCATCCTAAATGTTGGTGGTTAAAAAATTTCTGAGAACTTTTATTCTAAATAAATAAATAACTTTTTTAACTAACCATTGCCAGGAGACTTGAAATGCTGCTTTAAAAATATTCTCCCAAGAGAAAGTTTATTTTGGGTATAAATATCCACTATACAAGTATGTGCATTATTTCATATTGGCCCGTTTCTTCTTTTAAAGCAGCAGAACATAAATCAAATCAAAAAAGTGTTTGGGGGATAACTGAGGTAGGTACATTTTCAGACTAGTTGGGAAAGTCTCCGTTCTTTATGGTCATGCTCAATTGCCAGTTTTTAGTGTTCAACTCTGCAACACAGTCATACAGTGTGTAAGCGTATATATGTCTAGCACAGCGTTTTGTCAGTCAAGTCTGCAATGAACTCCATTTCTAAAGAGAGCATTACTATTTGTATACATTGTTTACTTTGGTTTTTGAAACAGAGGAGAATAGAGTTCTCTGAAGTGTTGTTGAACCTCAGAAAGGAACGAGAAAATGCTTTTTGATTAGTTCATGCTATTATACATCTTAAGATATCTGCACATCAGCAATAATTGAATCAAAGGAGTACAAATCCTGTTTCTGCTAAAGACCGGTGTATTCACAGTTTTGTACGTCATCTAGATTTTAAATAATTTTTTTTTTTTCAGAATTTAGATTGAGGAGGCAGTTTCACGTACATTTTAGACCAGCACTGCTGCCCACTGAAGCACCTTTGACTAACTTGTACTTCTGGTTGCTCATTCCTGCCTCTGCACCTTCTTTCCCCATTTGCCAGCATCAGCATTTGCGTGCCCTGTGGTGACGTGGCCCAAGAAGTAGGTCCAGCACCCCACCCCATCATATTAACCTGCATCAATTCTTACTATGGCTTTGCAAAATCTTGTGCTAGCACAAGGAATGGGCTTGGAAAAAAGCAGTCGGGATTGCAGGACAAGAAGTACTCAATTCTTTTGCAGCATTACTGAGTTATCTGCTTTAAAACACATGTAAAATTGCCATCTGAAACCAGAAGTTTTCAATTCTTAATAGCAGCAATATGCAGAGCTGATTAGGATGCACTTGGTTCAAGTTGGTGCAAGCAGTTCACAACCCTGTGGAGCTAGCAGTGTCCTGACAGAACACAAAATACTTGCCTGCATGGATTTATCCATTTACAGTATGTCTCGTTTTTCTGAAGTGTCTATTAGATATTTCACATATGACTATAGAAAATTATAATCTCATAAATTAGTGATTGCATCTCTTAGAAGAAAATTTGATACATGCGGTTTCTCATAAATTATATTTTCACTTCAAGACTTATTTGGTACATTTTTTTTTTTTTCCTCCACATCTGTTTTACTTAGGCTTTGGACACATGTTTATTTAGAGCATGGTCAGATGTGTTGCTTCTGATCCAGCTGCCCCCTCAGATCTGCCAACATAACTGCACATTTAATTGCTCCCTAACCTGGTCCTGACAAAGTGATCC